GCCTTTATATGGTGGTATGAATAAACAATGTGGGCAATAAGACACCACTTGAAATAAGGGTAGGCAGAAAAATGCTTTTATAACTTTAAGTTTTACAAGTAGGAGATAAAACTTACAATTATATAATTAGGTTAAAGGATAGACATATAGAAACGACAGGAAGGCAGAACAGAGAGGTCTCATCTGTAGAATCAAGATTCACCTAGATTCAAACTTGGCTGCTCTACTATTTACTATCTATGTGACCTGAGTCTGTTTCCTTGCATGTAAAATGGGAATACACACAGCACAGTATTATTATACATTTTGTGTGTTTGTGTGTGTGTGAGGAAGATTAGCTCTGAGCTAACATCCACTGCCAATCCTCCTCTTTTTGCTGAGGAAGATTGGCCCTGGGCTAACATCCGTGCCCATCTTCCTCCACTTTATATGGTATGCCGCCACAGCATAACTTGACAAGTGGCAGCACGGTATTATTATAAGGAACACATAGGAGATGCTTAATGTCAGTCTCATCTCCTTTTCCTTCAACACTAATGATTACACAATGGTGATGAGATTATGAGTAACGTTCCCCTCTTCATTTTTCAAACTGCTGAAAACAAGTTTTAAGCATATATGAAACTTCTGGTATTTCACACTCACACCCCTCCTCACGTGAACTTAAAATTACTTTTACCAGCTTTTACAATTGTTTTAAAAAGCTTAAAATTTGGGGGGGGGGGGGAGTGGGTAAGTGGTAGAAGAAAAATTAAAAGGGGAAATAAGTTTAAGACCATACCAGAACAGGCATATACAAAACAAAGAAAAGCGTGGAGAGGAAAAAGGCAAAAGGAAATGCTGTTTGAGGAAATTCCCGACTCAGACTAAGCAATGCAAAGATAATATGCCTCTCCTCAATCTGACTACTGTTGAAGCCACCTCTCACTCTCATCTGGGATTTATATGTACATTACATATAAATATATGTAGCCACCCACTCTCTTCTCTCTACTAATGGTCGCCACCTTCCTCCTGGTCAAAAATTTAAAGAAGAGTGAAGAAATTCAGGATGTTGTAACAAAGACAAACCAACACACTAGTTGGGAAATAACTTCACTAAAACGCACTCATTCCTAGGTGCATTTATTCATCAGCTGACAGTCATAAAGGGAATGTGTTCCTGAAATATTGAATCTGGTTACAGCTTTTGCTACTAGAACTGGAGAAAGTACACTTTGATGCCCACCTCTGACTTCCTTTATAACAACCTTGCCTTTGCAGACATGTGTCTAAAAATGGAACATTAGCAAAAGTATACAACTCCAAATCACTCCAGGTGAAAATTTCAAGTTACTATAGAAAAAATAATTAAACAATGGTAATAATAATTATTATTATTCTAAAATTTAACATTTACTCAGCATTCACTGTATACCAGAAAGCTAAGAACTTTACATGAATTATGTAATGTAAACCCTAAACCTCTATGAAGATGGTATTATTGTTAAATCCATTTGCCTAGTACTCACACAGTTGGATTTTAACCCCACCAGTTTTACTTCAAAGGTTACACTTTTAAACCTTACCTCATTCTGCCTCTATTTATATACGCGTAATTACAAATGCAATTATGATTTTCTGCGTGGGTTTATATACAAATGTGTGTTTGTGAGTGTGTGCATAATATTTAGTAAGTCAACAATAAGCAACGGGCAATTAATTTTAACTCTGGCAAGGCCTTTATCCACCTTTGCAAACCATTCAACAATAATTGGGAATCACCTCCTCCCCAAAAAATGATGTTTTGAAAGTACTAGTTATATTTAACATCTTCCTCAAGAAACTGATGAAAAAGATATGCACTAAGCTTTCAAGTAAAACAATGAACATCATGCAAGAAAGGATAAAAATGTTAATCTTTCATAAAAATTAGATAAATAATTGCTACAATACAGGTAAATATACTGTGTAAACTTTCAAGTACTTTAGTCCTAACACTTTATTAAGCTTTTTAATTTTAAATTATCCATTTGGATCATAATATATTTTAAATTTCTGGACTTTGTACAAAAGTTTTTTAAAAGCTGTATTTTCAACTTCAATGAATGGCTTACACACTAAAAGACTTAATATCTAAAATCTGTATTTATTACTCTAACCAACTTCAACTGTATCACAATCTAGACTAATAGAATTAAATTTCAAGGAACAAAATCACTTATCTGTACTTTTCACAAAGTTACTTACAAGATCACAGTTCCAGGAATACCAAATGAAATGGGAAGACTACAGCTTACAGAGAGAAGAGGTAGGGCAAAGATCAGTTGAGGGAGATTGCAACGGAAATCTCTTAGAAACACTAATCTTTATGAAGTCTCATTTTCCCCCATCCAAGAGAAGTGTGCAATGCTGTTGCTTCTGCCCTGGCATCCTCCTCTTCCTCTTCCTCTTGAAATCCTCTGCTTTTCTCCTCCTGGAAAGTTATATCACAGGATTTTTTGTTTTTCTTGCTAACATTTCTCAATTGTCAAAGGATGTCCTACCTTGAATTTAAAAGAACAAAAACATACTAACTCCCCATAATCACATAACAGTTCCCAGTAAATTCAAAGAGAATAGTAACTCCAAAGCTCAACTTTCGCAAATCTAAGAAAAAATTAAGTTTAACAGTAGAGCAAATGGCCCCTAGAGAAGACAAAACACCTTTTCCACGGGGACTCCATCTCCCTGAAGAAAGACTATGAATTGACTTTGGTGTTCTACCTGCTAGGTCTCAAGTGATCTTAACTGTTTGCTTGTTTTTAAGAGGGGGAAGAAGAGAAATACTTTAGCCAACCAGCAGGGTGAGCTAATGCTAGAATCAGTTTGATTATTCTCAATTCTCTCAAAATTCAATAGTTTAAATGGTTTGCACTGTTAAAAGCAGCTATATCTAATAAACCTGAATTAAAAGACACTACTTCTAGAACTGCTTCAGGCAGTGCTACATCTCAACTTTTTCAATATTTACAGATCCTCTATCTACAAAAGACATTCTCCATACCAGAGATTAATGATAACAAATAAATGTAAAAAAATTGGAGCTCATTTGACTATCCAAAATATTATAGTAGCCACTTTTCATTCTATGTTTATTTTATAGGGCTTTCAATTTAAAAAGATTTTAAATGGTTTTTTTAAAAGGACTGCAAAAATTGTTATTCTATGAAATTAGGGCTGGGTAATTCAACATACCCATTTCTGCATTCGGTGCAAACTACAGCTGCCTTACCATCTGCCTGAAAAGCAGTCATGACAAAAACATTCCTATAAGAATAAGATCTACTTTTTTCCTTTGGAATCATACCCTGAGAAAAGAGCCTAAATAAGTAACCCTAAACACTAACAGTGTATTTGGGATGAGAAAAAGATGAACTTCATCTTTTCTGACAATTAATTTCTCTAAATTGCAGGTATCCCCACCACTTCTAGTGACTGTCCTTGAGTCTTTCTTTTCCCCTCCTAATACACAATCCAGTCTCATTTCAACCACAACCAAAACTCTCCCTCTTGTAACTTGAATGGCAAACTAAATCTGCAAAATGTTTAATGTTTGCAAGTGACAGACTCACTCTTTAATCACAAATAATCTGAGGGTAATCCTAATTATCACAAGACTAAAGTGTAATTGAATCCACTTACATACATAGTGTTGAAAATTAAGAAATAGCTTATCAACTTCCCTAGAAAAATCAATAATTTAAATGATCCATAAAAGCTTTAAAACCTCAAGACAATGTAACTGGTTTTGTTAAATTTGATATCCAAAGAAATTAAAGATAACTGTGGGATCCCACCATAAGAGATTTTACTACTTGTTGAATTTCCTAACAGATTTTACAGATCTACTACTCGGTAGTAGTAGTTGTAGTTAGTCTTAACAAGCTGTTTTTAACAAGGGCTGGTGTAAGTGGCACGTCCATTTATCCAACTGCAATGCTATTACAAAATGAAAGGCACTAGCATCATTGTTTTCAGCATCTATCTCATTTCTTACGTAATAACTGGTAGTACTGGCAGTTATTTCAAACCTTCCAAGAAGTTTATCGAGTTTTTTTAAATTTCTGGGTCAAGAATGCTCTTTAAAACCTCAAAGTTCAAAAGGAACATTGCTCTGAAATTATCTGAAATGTATTTTCCATCTGAATTTGTTTCACTGAAAGTCATTTTAAAAACTAAGTCATCATATCACATTAAATACAAGTTTTTAACTTATTTTCACAGAAGTTCTATTTAATATAATAGTACCTAATTAACAAGTATTCTCAAACACACTGCTTTATTTTTTAATCATTATTAGTTACAGACAACCACCTTCTCATCCCAGCAATGTGATCAATGAAAACCGCAATAGGGTAGCAGTTGAGAGACAATTTTTCATTATGCCACTAACTTAATCATCTCTGGCTCTTAATACACCATAAAAGACAGGGTAAGAAACAGTTGTTCTCTGAGTAAAACTGTATGATTCAGTAATACATTTTGCCAATGTTAATTGATCTCCCATTCATTAATACAAGAAGATTGTTCTCTATTAGGAGAAAAGCTAAAAGGGGGAAATATATATTGAAAAAAGGAAAACGCAATTTTAAGTAATGTTGAAAAGTTCAAATTTCAATTTGAACAGAGACTCAAATGTGTTTAAATATCCCTTCAATCAAGTAATTTAATTTGTTAACATGACCTGGCCAAAACAAAAACAGTTGTTTCCAAATTTTGTACTTCAAATACTAGTTAATACCTATCTACAAAGTATGATGTAGTCGTTAAGTGCAGTATCACTTTGTTAGAAATTCTAAACCTTACACTGCCGTGATTTTAACAGCAATATACATATCACTGCATTAATACTAGCCAAGCCTTCATGTTTCATCTATTAAAATTCCTAAACTAAATTATAACTTCTTCATAAAAACTAATCTTTTCTTATCAGACCTACCAATGCAATACTGCTGCCATCAATTTCCCTGGATACTTACACATGGCACTGAAGGCAAACAGCAGGAATCCTTCCTTTGAGTAACTTGAGTTGTCTACGTTTTTTGAAATGCTTTCCTTCTCGTAGGACCAAAAAATGTACCTAAACTACTGCAGAGAGGCAATATACTATTAAGGCAAATCTAATCTGTCATCCAGATGCAACAAGCCTGGCATTAGTCAGGAATGGCCAGAAGAGATGATGGTGTTTTGGCATTTCTGTTGAACTTTTTAACTTGTATACAAAACAGGACCATCATTCAGACCCCGGGTTGTGTTTATCCCCTCGTTGAGTACTTCTTAATGACCACACAAAAGCTGAAGTCTAAACATAAAAGTTTTATAACAACTAAAATTATGTCAATATCACTTCAACAGTTCAGGAAAAGTTTTCCACTAATGTTGCTAAACCACGGATGGATCCCAACACGAGAGTCGTCTGTGGAAGTCTGGTAACAAGAAACCTTTAGCTCCACCACCTAAGTTTCCAATCACTGAGAAGGGTCTGGGACAACTCATCTTCAGGTTCACGGGAGAAGTGGAGCACACCTGCTTTCCTCTGGCAGAGATTAAGCTCCCAGGGACACAAAGGCCAGGGAATCAGACCTGGAGAAGCAAAAAGCTTTAGCTGGACACCCACCAAGCCCCTGGCAACCCACACACTTTGAGCGATTTACCTCTTGCTGTTACTGCCCGGGCACCTAGCGGCATAAGATCTTGCAGAACGGGGGGCGGGGAGGGCTATGCGGTTCTGGTCCCACCTTAGGGGAGGGGTGTTACAGTTAATGCCAGAGCTGGCGCTTCTGGCCAAGACCGAGCAGCCCCGACGAGAGGGGTTGGTGACTGCCCTCGGACCGCCCCGTTACTCAGTGCATTGCAATGGCGACCGCCAGGCTCCCCAAGCCGCCTGATCTCGGCCCCTTCCCCCTACTGCTCACTGGCTGCTCGGCTTCATGTGACTAAACAAAACCCCCAAGTCTAGTGCCCAGCTCAGCCCCTTTGTGTCCGCTACCGGATCCTCCGACGCCGCTGTGGAAAGGTCCCCCCCCACCTCCGCCGAGTCCCGCCCGCGGCGGCCACCGCCGCTCACCTCAGGCTCCGCCGCCCCCCGCGGCCGCCGCGGCCGCCGCCTCCCCGAACCCGGGGCCCGGGCTCCTTGTGCAGCACCAACTCCGCCTCCTCGGCCGCCGCCGCCATCTTAGCCTGTGCGGCAAAATGCGTCCTTTTGGATGGTTGGGACCCAGCCTAGGGCGTCGCTCCCCGGGCCCGAGCGCCGAAGGCCGGGTCCCCCAACTTCTTCCGCCACCCTCAGTCCCGCAGCCGCCACAGCCCACAGGCCCGAAACCCACTCGGGGCCCGACGAACCCGACCAAATAACCCCTGAAACTCACAGTTTGGTGCCGTGTGCGTCAAACCGGGGCGACGTTGGGAGCGCGCGGCGTCCCCGCGTCACACGCCGCTCTGTACGCTACTAGGCTCCAACGGCCCCCCTCCGCTCCCCGCTTTTCGCCTCCGGCCCCGGTTCCCACGGCGCAGGCGCGCTGCTTTCCCGCCTCTACCGAGCTGCGGGCCGCGGGGGTGGCCAGCGAGGAGCTCTGGGGCAGCCTCGCGCTGGTGGGGCGTCTGGGCCAATTAGACAAACGGAGGCAGGAGAAACAGTGCACCACTGTTCTCGGGTGCCAGAAACCAAACAAGGTCACCTCCCCCAGAGCTGACCTAATCACTCTCAAGGAGGTTCCCGCCCCAAAGTAGGCACGCTCCAAATATGGTGGTGCCCAAACTCTGCAAGACCCAAACACTTAGACGAGCCTAGGCCCTTTAAGGTGGAACAGGCCCATATTTGATTTCCACAATCGCTAGCGTGCCAAAATTCCTTTTCTTTTTCTACTGTTGAGGAAAACAGCTAAAGCACTCAAGAGTGCCAGTCACGACTGTAGAGTAATGGGCAGAGGAAGGGTTTTGGATCTTAAGGAGACCAAGTGTTGGGAGATGCTCGATGGCCAGGCAAAGCCTCAACTGTGGCATCTCAATTAGCGGAACAGCGTACCCTACAAGGTGCCCTGGGTTTGGTCCAATTTGATTCTGTGAGGATACTTTATCCCTGCGTTACTGAATGTGCCATGGGTCTCCAATTAAAGTTACATAAGAAGCACTTGAGATACTGATTAACCCTTGAAAGAATCAGTAGGTCCCGAGAGAGTTCCAGAAATCTTCCTTTTTAACAAGCATCCACTGCGGGAGTGAGAGGAAAGGGTTTTACAAACTACACGTTGAGAAACACTGATTAGGGGCTATTCTCTTTGCTTTTGAACTGAGCAAACAAGAAGTTGCTAACATGTTGGACATGAACCAAAAGTTGCTGAGGAATCTACTAGTCCTCACTTAAACTCTTTGGCTTTTCTGAATCTCTGTTTTCTCATTTAAAAAAAAAAAATTTCATTAGTTTAGCAGCTATCACAAACTGTGCTCCTCCAAACCCTCAAGATGTTATTGGCATTCAGAGGAATATACTATAATTGCATTTATTTGACAAGAATGAGAAACATTCTCTTTCCTATAGGATGTTAACTTCATCATTATTATGAGCAAACATAGATTCCAAACAACAAACATTTATATTTGCTGTATTAGTTGATAATAGTAGCTAGCACTTTTGAGTGCTTACTATGTAACAAGCATTGGTCTAACTCATTCAACTTTATTACAACCTAATGAGGCAAAGAGAGGTTAGGTAATTTTCTCAACATCACACAGCTCTTTGGGCTCTTTCAAAATGCAGATTTTCCTTCCTCATTTACACAAATGAGTAAACAATAAAATGTAATGTATATATATTTTCAGTCAGTTGGGAGGAGTGCCCTTTGGGTCATTTCATCTGCAGATTCCATTAAAATTGGACATTCTCAGTTTACTATTGAACTTACAATAAATAAAATTATTATGCACATTATATCACTACAAAAGCAGTTACCAACAAGAAAAAAACTCTATTGTGAATGTACACCACTGACTGATGTGCAGACAGTACGTTCCACAAGCAAATGGAATCACTTAGAACTCAACTATGATCAGGAATTTGTCTCACTAATGAAACTGTTTGTTTATACTAGAATTCAGCAACCAAACTGTAATACTATAGAAGTAGTAATAGTAGTATAAGTAACAGTAGTAATTGTAATAGTAAAAGTAGTAACAGTTGGTGAAGCTCTTTATAAACAAAATAGATGTCAAAAAACTTTCTATGAGTGGGGAAAAACTTGATAATGGCAGAAAGCTTGAATAAGGTAATGCAAAAAGAAAAAAGGATGCAGGCAACTGTAAAAATTCAAGAACCAATTAGTGGCTTAATGCCAAAATATTTAAAGACATTAAAAAGAAATTGCAGTTGAGAATGAAAATCAAGATGTGAAAAACAGTTTGACCCTGGGAGAAAATTCACAAGCAAATCTACCCACTGTAATAAAATAATGGTCTGATGAATCACCTGGTGAAGAATCTTTAAAAAGAAAGTGAAAGCAAGACCTAGCTATTATTAATATGTTAAAATCTAACAATATTAGCACAATATATGAATCCACTAGTTATTCCAGTGAATGGAATTACCCAATAAAAGATACAAAGTAAGCTGTGGTCTCAAATGACTTAATCAAAAAGAAAATGCAGTTTAATGTTGAATAAAAACAGGTAGTTCTCCACATTCTAATACTTCTGAATTCCAGGCAAAAAGAAAAAAAATGAAATATTGATTAACCTACTATCCTAGTAATAAAGTCAAGTCAAGTTTTGGATTTATCTTAGGACTTCACTAGTTCTGGACCCACCTCTGAGTACCAAAACTGTAAGGCAGTCTCGTTTGCGGAACTGCAAATATTACAATATGTTCATTGACTGAGGTGGGTGGGCGGTAGGAGGTTTGGCATAGAGAGAGATGAAGAAGTAAACAGAGATCAAGTCTTATATTTATTTTTGTCTCACACTAATCCCAGCATAGAGCGTTACACAGGTATACAATAAATAATTCTGTTCAATTCAACCAACATTTACCACTTGCTTACTTTATGGCAGGCACTGTACTAGGCACTGTCAGCAAAAAGAGGAATAAGACAATTCCTTGCACATATTCAATAAATGGTAGTTGAATGAATAAGGAACTTTTATAGTCCAATAAAAGAACTAGACAAAAAGATACAATCAACTCTCAATTTACCAGGGAATGGGGGAGATGAGGAAATAGATTATGAAGATTTCAAAATCAGAGTTAAAACAAAACCTCATAAAACATGGTACAAAGTAGGTTTAGTATATACATATTTAGTAAAAATTATATCTAATATTTAGGAACACATTTAACCACTCTAATTCATCAGCATATCAGAAGTAGACCATGAGCATATATGACCTTGTTCACAGAACACATGTAGAGAAAGAAAACGGTGAGCCATGAAAACTTAGATTAAAAATATTTAAGGAATGAGTAGAGGAGAAGTCCAAGAAAATAAGAAATGAAGGGATACGAGGAGATTCAGGCAAGAGTGTAGCATCACAGAAGCCGAGGAAGTATTGGTACCAGCTTGCTTTGTTGTTGTTAGAGCCCTAGAGTCCTAGTGAACCTGTGCCGGGTCTTTTTGCACCATCCTGTCACCTTCCAGGGCTACATCGGCTGCCATTTCATGGCCAATTTTTTTGGAATTGAGTGACCAGTTTCTTCTTCCCAGTCTGTCTTAGTCTGGAAGCTCTGCTGAAACCTGTCCACCATGAGTGACTCTGCTGGTATTTGAAATATCTGCAGCATAGCTTTCAGCATCACAGCAACATGCAGCCGCCACAGTATTATAATCCACAGATGGGTGGTGTGGTTCCCTGATCGGGAAACGAACCCGGGCCTAGACCATGAGTGACAAATCCTAACCGCTAGACGACCAGCGCTGGCTAATAGCTTACTACTATAACAAATAATAAGTGAAACTTCACTGTGTTAAGCCATTGAGATTTAGGGGGTATTTTTTACCCCCAAAATCTCAATGGCTTAACGCAATAATGTTTCATTTCTTATTCATGTTATACTCCACTGCAGTCAGTGAGAAGGAGAGAAGAGGCCTCAGAGCAGTTATTCAAGCACCTAAGGTCCTTCTATCATATGGCTTTGCCATTCCCTAAGGTCTTAGAGTTTTCTACTGGATCCTCTGCAAAGAGAGAGCACACACCCCACTTAACTGCAGACGAGGCTGGGAAATGTAGTTGTATGCCCTGGAGGAAAAGGAAATGGGACTGGTGAGCAGAAAGCAGGGTCTCTGCACATCCTGAGTAAATGTAGCAGAGAGGTTATGAAAGATAAGTGTGTCCATTGGGTGTACAAGATTGTGGGTGACCTTGGTAATGGCAAGGTCGGTGAAGTGGCTCAGCCCACTGCAGTAAGTTCAGGAGTAAAGGAAATGAAGGGGAAATAGCACTGAGTCTGATCAACTATGGAAATCTGACAAGATCAAGCAACTGGACTCACAAGGCTCGGACTAATCCGAGGCTATAGACTATAGGTAAACGCCACTGCTCAAGGATTCTTGGCAACTAACGAGCCAGCCTTCTCCTGGTAGGAAGAAAGCCCTCTCTAGGCCTGCATCAAACTTCCACACACATTAAATTTGAGAAATGCCTTTATTGTTTATATTTTCCAGAGTGAAAGATTCCAGATGTTACAAAATATTTGGCTGAGATCCATCCAAGGAAAAAGGGCATCTGTAATTTCAGCCATCCCATGTGCTTTACTAAAGAAAATGAGCATAAAATAGTAAGCCAATGCATTGCATTATATGTATTGATTTACTTTGTAATCAATAATTGGGAGATATAATTGAACAAATGTGTTCCTTTAACTACATGGCATTAATTAGAAATTGGACTTTGATAGCTCTAGTTTAATTGTAAATGAAATTAAATGTCTTCAAAATGAACATTAAAATCTCTCTCATATATCATTTACTTAAATTTTCTAAATAGGTTGTAAGAAGAAAAAGAATGGTGGTTGCAACCTTTAAAAAATAGATTTAGGAAATATTTAGTCCAAAATAGAAATACAGGTCTAAAAATATAACATGATAATGTTATCTTTATTTTTCTTATCTACTTCTCTTTTTATTCCAGGACATTAAAATTTCTTTTACAAACTCTCTGTCAGATTCCTTCCTGATTGCCAGACTTCACCCTCAACACAAAATGGCTGTGGTCTCTAGGCACACCTGAAAGATGGCCTGAAAATGCAGAGCCATCCTCTCTTCTCATATTCATGTAGCGCCTACAATGTTCCAAGCATTGTACTGGTCCCCTTGGAAGATGTGAAGGTAAATAGAACACTCTCAGCTCTCAAATATCTTGTGGTCGAATAGATCAAGAGTCACATGCTCAACGTGCTATTTGCATTTTTAAGTTGACAGAGAATGTGGTCAGCTTATTGTTCAACCAGAGCCTCACATGGTATTGGTAGTGTCGTGGAGTCATTTTCCTCCAGGGTTTGACTCTTAGCTTTGCAAGTTGAGAATCAGACCAGAGTTGATCAAGCTCAGATGCGTGAAATATATGAGGCTAATGTATAAATCACATGTTAATGTATTAATTTTGCAATAAAAGTTTTGACTGCCAAGCATAAGGAAATAGTCAGGCAGATTGGT